GTGAGCCAATTGGCCAATTGCTCTGTTTCGATCTGGCTAGCATAGAATGTGGCTGAACTCGAATCTCTCACCGGCGAGGATTCCTGATGCCCTTCTCCGTCTAGGATTTATCCATACAAAATGGCAGGCACTATGATAGGTATCATTAGGCCTTTAGTTGACTTTTGGCCTCACAGAGGGGAGGAGGAACATTAAAATAACAAAAAGTTGAGAATGGGGGGGGGTGGACAGAAGAGTGATTCACAGATATGAGAATCGACATAGAAAAAAGGTAAGGTGAGTACTATGAAAGTGGTTGAGTATGACATACAGTCAGGTCTTGGTAGTTTGAAGTCAATTGCCAGTGTTTAGACTTTTGCCATATGAGAATACGTCCAAGGTGCACCACGTGGAAGTAAGTCCATCGCGCATCCCTGCGCAAGGATGGCTCTCCATCTGGACATGAATAGGAAAACTCTTTCCCAAGAGGAATTACGTCTTATTATTGTCTAGCATATGAAACACGTACCTGACATTTTCTTTATTAACGGAAGGTTACTTATACCCTAACTTCGTTTAACCTTTAAATATTCAATCAACCGCCACGCATACTCCCCGTGCTGCATCTTTTACTAAATAAGGTCGTGATTCTTTGCATCGCAGGCGTTACGTAGAGTGTAACACCGACCTCCTGACCGAGAGATGACATTTTTTGATTGCCATCTTTTAAAGGTCAATAGAGATTTTGGCAATAAACTTGCAAATTTTTTGGATAGTTTCAGTTATACAAGACCCATTAATGCCTCTTATCCAAGAATTTAATTTGGCATTAGGATATAATAAGTACGTTTTAATCACTAATTACTTTCTTCTATGGCCTACTACAATAAGCTTGACACATTAAAATTGATTCAAACGCCTCTAGAGAGTAGGCGAGAAGCTAGACCACAATGGCTAAATACAATTGTTGGAGGGGTTTCGGAATTTCAGTTGCTCCTTTTTTTCAGATCTCCTACTTGAAATGTACACTACAAAACGCCTTTTGAATGCTCTAGACCTTTACAGTAGCTTCTGAAATTTCCAACCCTAAATCTTTCCTACCATTTCTTTATTTGCTATTTAATTTGTTTTTGTTCGCAATCATTCTGCTTCTACTACTATTACTACTATGCTTGCAAGTTGAATTCTCCGCATTCTTGAAAATTTAACCATTTACTTTTTACTTGAAATTTTAGTTATAATGGTTTGATTTAAATTGGCTTTTTTGATTTTTCTGAAGCATTCATGATCCAAACAATTACTGACATCTACGTTTTCTCTTCCACAAAGCGTCGACGCAATATTTTTTAACGACCTTCAGTTGTACTTTTTCTTATTACAGACACCCTATTCGCTTCTTTTGCTAATCTCTCTCTCTCTCTCATCAACCACTCATGGGAATTTACGAGCAGTACACAGAATATTTGGGTCGATTTCTGAATAGCTCTGTGTGTCCAACCGGATTCTTGCCTCTCAAGCTCTTTGAAATGGCAATTTTAAAATAAAGCAAAAATTCATATTTCTCTTCAGGTGAATCTAATCCCTATAATTGCAAAAGCGGACACAATGACTGTGGAGGAGTGTAAACAATTCAAAGCAGCCGTCGCCAGTCAGCTGATACGAGAGGGTATCAACACTTACGATTTCCCACTTTCTGATATCCCTGAAATCCCAACGGGTGGTACAAATGGAGTCTCGACTGTTGCTGTTGTGCCTGATAGTCGAGTGGCGGAAGTCAAGCGTCTTCGTCTCAGGCAGCCTTTCGCAGTGTGTACTAGCTCGCATGTCATTACCAAGGATGATGGCACAAGGGTAAGGTGTTTGAAGATAAAGATTTTGCTGAGATGGTAAGTTAAAAATTAATCGATAATAGGGTAAAATTGATTTATAAATGTTAATATTGGAGGTTATAGAAGGCAAGTTCTGACTATCTGACCGTTTTCTGAGCCTTTCTTAAAATGGTTTTTGAAGTCCTCGAGTATAAGGTCTTTGAATTGAGGTCGTTGGTGCAACGTTGATGATTGGCTTATATCGGGAAATGGAAATTTGGTAGAATACTACCATTGTAAACATCGAGATATCATATCTAACTGCAAAATTGGTTTTCATTAATGGGTTTACTAATTAGTAGTATTGCGGCTGTATGCTAATTGTAAACTCAATATTTCTTATGAAATGAAAATGTGTAAGCTATCATTGTCATTCTTCTAATGTAGGTGTTATTCGATTACTTCCATATTTATTGGCTTCTATCTGTATGAGTCACTGTTGGGGCGATTGTCTTTCATCAACAGTATACATTTCCGAATTATCAAAAGCTCTAATCGAGAATAATTATTAATTACTAGAGAGAATGATTATTCATTGCATATTTTTTCCCCAATTATTTGGTGTCAGCGGGTTCTGAAAGTTCTAATGCAGAATCACAATATTATTAAGCTCGTGAGCTGAGTGAAATAATTTGGTCGCGTGAAATCATGCTAGGAAGGAAATATGAATCTTATAAAAACTGATTAACAGCAATATTATACTGTTGCTTCAAGTCATTTAGTGATTTTTCCTGAAATCAGATGACGTTCTGGTGAGAGAGAGGGAAGAAGGAGAGGTGGGGGTGGATGAATTGTATTTCCCGTGTTTCTGTTTATCTACATATAATCCTTATCATCAACCGCGGATTATCCACTTCGATTCAATTCCACTCCCAGATATAAAACGCCCCACTTAATTGAAGTGGTTGGCAATTTTTGAGATGCCGGAAAGCAAATTTTCTGCTTATCAACTGACTTTATTCTGAATTAATGCTGCTGCATCTTGGGATTCTGACTCAATAATATGTCATTTATTCTTTAAACGTTTGAAAATATAAATAATTTTATTATGGGGAGGGGTGGGGAGTGGGGGTAATTGGTTAAAATAAGTGAATTTTCACATGGTTCATTTAAGGAATTATTTCACAATGAATTAAGATGTTTTGAGTGTTTGTTTACTTTTTTCTGGAAGACAGATATCAAATAAACTGGACTTATCAACTTTATTTGTAGGTGAGATGTAGAGTATATCCCTGGGGTACCGTTGAAACCGACAGTCTTGAACACAACGATTTTCAAGCACTGAAAACCCTTCTTATGAGGCATTTCATGCAGGTAATGATAAGCGTCGCCCTCGGAGTTTTCCACTTTGAATTGACGAGAAAATAACTGTTTTTCGCTTTCAGGATCTTATTGACGTGACCCACACCAAACACTACTCCAATTACCGGAAAAATCGGTTGGCAGATGTCATGCAAGCAGCCAACTTCAACCTCCAAGACGGTCGTGATCCTCTTTGTCAATTAGATTCCGAAAGACGTGCCCATCAGATGAAGCTCGATAAGTTGGTTGAGGAGATGAACCAAGTCTATGTCGAAAAGGTATCAGCTTAAAACCACCAATTTAGCGCCTATTTTCTCTCACATCTTGCATAATCAAACTTAACGCAAAAATTGGGCATAATTTCATTACCTATTTAAATTATTTAAGTAGAAAATTCGACTTGATATTTTCTTCAAATAGGTTCGTGAACGTGAAAAGCGCCTAAAGGACAGTGAACGCGATTTGACAGAAAGAATCCGTCAAATGCAACAGCAACTCGAATTAGAAGCTGAAGATCTCACTAATGCTCGACAGACTTTCAATGATGAACGTGTCGCTTGGGAGATGGAGAATAGAGACTATGCTGATGTAAGTCTACTGAAATAAATTTTTTAAGTATTATTACTACATCCCCAGTTGAGCTGAATATAAGTTTATTGTACGCACATGACTTTTAACTTACAGATGCATTATACCACCGCAATCTATGATTCTCCCCGACTCTCAGTGAGTACTTAGAGCATTATACTACTGATAATTATTTCACTAGCTTACATTCGCATAGTGCTTTTTTTGTCCCGGTGTAACAATAGTAGTTTGAAAGTTGCATGAACAAACACTTAATTGTAGGCTTATTATAGAGGCCATCGGCACCGTCGTCATCTCAAGTGAGTTTTTTGTCTTCTTTTGGTGAAGCACCAAGCTAATCAATGACGGCTGTATATTCAGTTAGCCAACCGTATATAACCGGTGATGGAATGGTGCTTTTTTCGCCAAATAATTTACTTGTAGAAAAAACCTTTGCATTCGCACAAAATTATAACAGTGAGTTTTAGTGTCACTCTTGGTTATCATATTCTTTGGTAGTGCATAAATGTACTTAGCACAATTTCTAACACATAGCGCCCTTAGAGTTCGACGATGTTTATAACACAACAAGTAGATGACAGTTCATATACTTCAATTAACGACGTTGAATGACTAGTCGTGTAGCATTATCTATCTCAATTGTTGAGAGTGGAAGTATTTCCACACGTGATTTGTCGGTTGAAATACTATTTATGGACCACTGAGGTTGATATCCCAGCTTCATTTGTCGAAGAAGAAGTGAGGACTGACTTTTGTAAGTATCATGCTTTGCTTTAATGAATAGTTAAGCAATTAAAATGCTCGTCATACGCTGTATAGAAGTTTCCACGTCCTCAAATAACTGCTAACTCTATCATCCATAATTCGTGGATAGGCGAAAAGCAAGTCAGGAAGTATGTCAATGTCAATAGGGAAAATTTCACCCTCCCCAAGGAGTGATTGTCTGTTTGGCAATATTTGTTAGTTTTATTACTAACCCAAATAAGATATTCATCTCAAAATGGCTTGTATTTTTAAGCTTATTGAATTCACATGAGTTTGAATTTTGAGTTGAGCCAAAACTCATTTTTTGCTCGGCAGAAAATTTTTCAATTTTATCACTTTTCCAGGACATTAATTGGATTCTGGCAACATTTTACTTGGGTGAAGATAGGTTTCTTTTGACAATTCTTATGAGAAAATCACTTTCTATCAAGCCCCTTGTTAATTGGGGAAAGTAGTTGAACCCGTCGATGGATAACCAGTGCGATCGAAGCTGGTTGATTCATGTGCTTACCACTGTGCTACTAACATACAACCTAAAATTTTCTCAGTCGATTACTACAGCCGATCCTATTTAAAAGAGAACAAAAATCGGTCAGATAATTTTAATATTGAATTATAAGTTATGCAAAAACTCAAATCCTGTATGCACTTCCTGCGCTTCAATGACGAAGACATATTTAAAGGCAGACACGGTACCCAAAATCGTAACCTCAATTAATTATCGATTTTTTTGAGTAGTGAATCTCCTATGCTTGGTATATGCTTGACTCGACTATTTTCACTGCATTGTTACATCTTCCTACAATTTAGTTCGTCAATAAAACTTTGAAACGTGACGAAAAACGATCTCACAGCGCATGCTTTTCCTGGTCCAGTAGTTTATTTCTTCGGAAACAAGATTCTTCCTCAGCTATACACTCTAAGAAAGCCTCAACTAGCAGGAATCGTAAGCAGAAACGAGAGTACAGAAGACGCGCTTCATCAGCTCCTCAAACACCCCGCAGAAAAACTACCAGTGATGTAAAAAAGGCATCGAATTCTGTTGCCAGAACTCTTGAACAGCCTCAAACCAATGCGAATTATGATCCTACTTTAAATGAATCCTTAGCCTACATAGACGATTCCACTTCTGTTTTGTATTTGTGATTTTTTTATCGTTCATGTTCAATAGTTCTGTTGAACGAGTTAAATCGTCATTTCTTATAACATTAAAACGACTGTATTTGTCGCATAATCTCTTGTGAGGACTCATTTGCCAACGCATGAAATTTTTTTCCCACTGAGCATGTTTTTTAGCCCGAGGGAGAAATCGGATTCGGTTTAATGTCAGTCGGATTTGTAATTGGGGTTGGGCAAGTTCAGACTTTGAAGACGTGAGTTTCTTTTCTGAATATAACTGCAATACTCATACAAAGCGCAAGTTTAGTCCAAGAAATAATTGGATTTGATAAATGCCACTGTTTCACACCTAGCGCTGAAAGCAATATTTTATCGCAATTTGCTACCCCTAAACTCGTAAATGTTGTCGGAAATCTGCAAGTGAATCACAGTAGATCAATGCGATTTTCACGGAAGACGCAGAGAAATAAATAAGGCAGCGATTAATCATGGAATTTTTTATCCTCGAGTTGAAGCATAGCTGACATTACTTGCTAAAGTATCGCAATTTTGTGAAAACTACATAAGTTGTAGTGTTCACATGTAAATTGCCCAATTCTAATTGGGCATTGGTTTCACCGTATGAATTCAAAATTTATAAGCAAATGCCTATTAATCGGAGAGGTAGAGCCTTTTATTCGATCCACAATTCCAAACCATTTTCTTCTCAATTTTTAACAAATATGAGTTTCTTATGGTGGGCCCACTAACACACTTTACTTCGATGTGGTGTTTGGTTTTATGAGTTGTTCTCGCCATCACTCAAAGTCAGTCAATGTCACTTCTATTCTCTCGATATTTACTTTGAGTTTTTGCAAGATGACATAATTGATTGTGATTTAATCCGTTTAAAAGGTCTGATTACTTGTTTTAACATATTTGTTTGTTGTTTTAAATTCCATTTTACGGTGAAGTATCAACATCCAAGATGCCACAGAAAAGCCAAAACAAAGGGTTAGGTGTTGCAAAGAGAGAGAGTGAGAGAACTCTGATCAGATTATGAATCGTAGTTCTACTCTTCCAAGTTTTATCTGACTCTTAACCTTCTAAATTCTGTCTCCCATTTTAATTATTTAGAACGTAATACCATTTTGATTTAGTTGAGAGGCTGACTAATCCGCCTTGAAGATCCTATAACATTATAGGAAAGATGTGCAAGAACCCGGAGACTCTCGAGATAGAGAGAGCACATATTATCACAGTCGCATAGTGTTATTCAGCATTAATTAGAATTGATCACATAGATGGACTTGTTACTCTTGGGGATCGAGGTTAGTCAATTACTGAGAACACGGAGACCACATAGCTAGTAGAGTCATAGAGTAGCTAGTTGTTGCAAACTCGGAAATCACTAACACAACAGAATGCAACCGATGTTAACAGTAGCAACGCTAATTCCCAACAAGAGTATAATTCATTACATTGAAAACTCCACCCCCCTTACCCTCTGTTTGGTCAGAACACTCGTCAAATGTTTAAGCGAAGTAAGAAGAAAGGTCTGCGAAGCATACGGCCTACTCCACGCAAATAAATCAGGCACTTGAAGTTCGTTTCCTCCTTTTTAAATTTCGAAATTTGTTTGAATTTTGTTGTATTTACTCTACTTAAGTGTAGAGCTTTTTTAAAAAGGACTATTTTGTTGTTTTTCCTTCTTTCAGTCGGTTTGCGGATCGCTGGAAAAGCTTGAGAAAATAAAGAAGCATCGTCGGGGCCTCTTCTAATCTCATCAAATCCTCATCAAAATAGATTCTTCTATCGACAACTCAAAATGTTATATCTATAGCCTCCTTTTATCTCATAGTCTTCCACGCATACATTCACTTCTTTTAAAAACCATCCCTTGTTGAGCTGTGATTATCGATTTATCGATCTGGTCGGTTATCGTTTGCCTGTGAACTCCATCGAATTATTTCTTTTCTTTTAATTCTTAGACCATCATATTGTCCGCACTTCTCTATCCATTTCTTTTCATCTTATTATTATTATTATCTGCTTTATGAATGCGTTTTGTAAATGCATTGAAGTTTGTTGTTCCCTAATTTATCATTAAAAAGGCAACTTTTTAATGTTCTTATTAATAAACTTCTGGAACCAACTTTCATTGGTTTTTTTTGAATGAGTAAGATGTAGTGATGAAGAGATCGAAAAAATTTACTTTCACACACCCATTTGAAATCAATATTAGTACTTGCAAGTTATGCTTCAGAATCACCAAATCAAACAGAACTCCACTCCCAATGGCAATTTAGTGGCGGTTTTCGAGTCACCTTCTTTCTACCTAAGACGAGTGTCCACGATTCCGCCTTAACCAGTCTTGATGATGTACTTTTAATATAAATTTATATTAGGTTTTAACTGGGGTGTGCGATAGACTTACCTCCACGTGGTGCACCCTGGGCAACGTATATTCATACTGCAAAAAAGTCTTTTGACTGGCAGTTGACTTCTCACTTCAAACTAACATGACCCTCCTGGTTGTCATATTCGACCGCTTTCACAGTACTCACCTTACCTTTTTCTCTACCTTTGTGTCTGTCTGCCTCTTTTACAACTGGGAATCGCTCTTCTGTTCCCCACCCCTCGACTTTCTGCTACTTTGATGAACCTTCCCTCTGTGAAGCCCGAAGTCAGTTAAATGGCTAATGATATCTATCAAAAGGCCTGCCATTTGAAATAAATAAATAAATATTAGGTTTTAACTAGGTTACAAACATATCATGATATCCAGAGTTTATAGATTAGACTGTGAAAATTCAGTGAGCTACGGTGTACGCTGAATAAACTTCTATTAACCTCTGGATTTCCAAAATGTTCATTTTGATAGATTTTTGTTACCAGAAGGAAACCAGATACATTCTAAGAATAGATGTACAAGCGACTGTTTAAAACAAAGTCAAAATTGCTTTAAAATATGCATGTTCTCTGAACTATATTTTCATTCAAGGTAGGATAATTCGAAAGTCCAAATCGTGTTGCAAAATTGCAATTCCCTGAGCTTATGTATGGAAAATAAATTCTGTAAATTTCGAATAAATTTCGGCCAAATTAGCACAAAATCAAATTTCAAAATACGCAATATTAAAGATATCAAAAAA